TGACCAGAAATGATCGCTTTGACAATCGATATCACGCGTTCTCTTTTTTTTTCACTTGTATTGAGTATTTACTCGGTTAATAATACTAGTTGCAGGCTTATGAAATGTTATTAAAAATTTTTTTCCTGTTTTGACAGCTATTTCATAATATCGGTTTTGCTGGTGTTTTAGCAGAATACCGTTTTCACGAAGTAAAATTTCAAAGGCTTTTAACGGTTTTTTGACATTTGCGGTAAAGACCCTTGTCTTTATGAGAAAAAACAAGCCAGTTAAACCTGTCAAGATGTGACCTTTGTGCGAACTTTTTGTTTGCTTTCCTTTTTTATTAACAACAGAGTACGGAAAAGTATTATCAGAGGGAAGCTGCCAATGATGTTTAAACAACATAGTTTTCATTACATCATCTACGTATTTTCTTATGCAATAACTAATATCTGAAAAAAATTGCGATTTAGGACGGGCACTCTTTACCTGATCAGAATTGTAAGTAGACGTACATGATATTAGCAAGAATTTAACATCATCAGTTTCAGTAAGATCGTTTTTTCCTTTATCTAAGGTTAATGTAGCTGGGGATGTAGAAACATTGGTAGCACACTTATCATCTGTATTAGGGATCAGCATAGGTAAGTTTTTCAGGTGTTTATTGTGCAGATCGATCTCAAGTCTTGGTTTCTTTGCAAAAAAAGAGTCCGTTTTTCTAAACGAACCACCTACATTCGGTTTTAATCAACCATCACCATAACCCTTCTTACTAGAGTCGCCCTGAAAAAAAAATTACTTGCAAAAAATCCATGCAAAGTACACTTGTGGGCAACAGCTATTGTTTGAGTAAACAAATTCAACAGCTCACAAAACGAGATTTCGTTCTATCAATCATTAAACGAAATTTTTCAACAAAGCTACACGATTAAATGAATAATAATCAATTATTTTTTATGATTACAATCAGACCCTCAATGGTGTAGTATTCCTGATATAATTGCCTTCGTTGATATTTTAGTAACGTAAAAATAGTAAAAGATAGTTATGTACTAACAAACTCTATCATCCCCAAGAATATACACTCAATCCTATAACCTTATCGCAAGGACCTACTCGTAATATTAACAATGAAATTCAAACACTGCTACTCATCATCTCTTGAAAGAGAGGTTACAACCGCTTTCAAGAGCTCAGCTTCTGTCTGCAACAGTAAAGTGGTGTGATAAAAAACTAAACAAGCAAAGTAGTCTACCCACGGCCTTATTAATTAATCGATAAACATATTAACTGTTCCACGAGGGCGTTACCGGGTACACACAGAGAAGTATTAACAGCTGGGAGGGAGGACATACAGTACGTATAGAAGAGCGTGCTCGACTACCTGTGAGGTGGCATGGTGTCCGCTTGTTCGCTGTTGTTGCCGCTATGACAACCCTATGATGGTTGTCCCTCCTATCAAACGTCTAGGTACAGACGGTACAGTATCGATAGGAGTCTACTATTTCAGTGGTTCCATCAATCCCATACGGGTGATACGGCATGACAAGTCGTACCTTGGATACACAGGTACAACTTATCATGCCGTACAGGAGTAACGCACCGCTTAATTAGCGAACTGCTCCCGATTTACGCTGTACCTATACATAGCACTTTGATAGGCATGAGCCATCACAGCGTGGTGCAGTGATGGCAACAGCAACAGCGAACAAGTGGACAACATACCACCTTCTGGAAGTCTAGCACACTCCTCTACACAAACTAAACGTACGAACTAACTGCCCTTCCTCTCAGATGTGAATACTTCTCTGAATGGTAGAACTTAACTTTTATTTCTACTACAAAATGATCTAGATAAACTAACTGATGCCATTAAACCCATTTTATGGTGTCATTAAAAAGGAAATTTATTTGTCCAGACCTTGAGTCAAAGCTGAAAAAGTTACGTACTAGCACCTCTGTGTGCAGGCATCCGGCAATTCCAGCATCGTGGCACGGAAGTCAGGAACGGTAGTGTAATAATTGTGGGGTCAGCCGTCACCTATATATTATAGCATCATTGACCATAGACCAAAGAGATACTAGAATAGAGCAGGCCAGACTCTTAGAGCCTTACTGACACATTCTTTACTAGTACTCCTGTAAAAAATATAAAAAAAGTTTCGAATTACCAAACAGTATTTTATTTATTGATTGCAAGATTCTTCTATCCTACCATGGACATACAGACAAGCAAAACAAGACCCAGGCCAAGGGGATCATGATCCCCACGACCTCCCCCCTTAGATCCATCTTTGCCTTCTGTTCACTGATTACATTACATACCTTTTAAAGTAGGAGTAAGAACTTTTTTTGCGTTTCTACTTTTAGTGCTCATCTCTCGTAAAACATCGTTTGTAAGTGTATTAAAAACGTAGTGCATAACGATCTTCTTTTCTTTATTATATTGCTAGGAGTATTATATTGCTTATCACATGTGCTAGGAGTAAACAATCACGCACACATGTCAGTTCCTACACGAGTGGAAGCCAGCGCGTTCAAAAATGAACACCAAACTTATAGGGTAATTCAAATTAACTGTATGGAGCAAGACGCAAAACTCCAAATAATTCGACAAAATTTAATACACAATAACCTTATAAATTAATCCCAAAATATTTTACCCAATAACCAAATGCATAGTTCAGCAGTCTCACGAGCTTTCATTATATTAATAAAAAACATTTAAAAAACCCATAAATAACGCAAGCACCAATCACGGCACAACCCAGAGCACTTACTCGTCACTTTGTTAGTTAATAAAATAATACAAGCGCTAATCATTGCACAACCCAGGGCACTTTCTGATCATTGTAAGAATTAATAAAATTTATAAATTAATTATGCAAGCACTAATCATCACATAACCTGGGGCACTTACTAGTAGCTTTCTTAGTTAATAAAATAACACAAGCATTAATCACCATATAGCTTAGGGAATTTACTGGTCACGTTGTTAATTAATATAATAACCCAAACGCCAATCACCACACAACCTGGGGTGCTTACTGGTTACTTTATTAAATAGTAAAATAAATAAAACAACGCAAGTGCCAATCACCACAAAATCCCGGGCACTTACTAGTCACTTGAATAATTAATAAAATAACATGAGCACCAATTACCACATTACCCAGGGCACTTACTGGTCACTTTGTTAATTAATAAAATCACACAAGTGCCAATCACCCCACAACCCAGGGCGCGTACTGGTCACCTTATTGAATAATGAAATAAAACAAATAACGCAAATGTCAATCACAACAAAACCTGGGGCGCGTACTGGTCACCTTATTGAATAATAAAATAAATAAAGTAACGCAAATATTAATTACAACACAACCCAGGGCATTTACTGATCATTTTAATAATTAATAAAATAACACAAATGCTGCTTACCAAAGAACCTGGGGCGCTTACTGGTAATTTAAGGAATGAATAAAATTTATTAAGTTTTAACGTGAGCGCTCATTACCAGACCATCCAGGGTGCTTACTACTTACTACTGGTTGCGTTTTATTGGCACTTGAATAATTATTTGATTCTTTTCAATAATAAATAATGCAAACAGTAGGCACTCTAAGTTGTGTGGTGGTTGGCGCCCGTGTAATTTTATTAATTAATAAAGCAACCAGTAAGCACCCTAAGTTGTGCGGTGGTTAAAACTTGTGTTATTAAATAATAAATTTTATTAATTATTAGAATAACCAGTAAGTGCCCCAGGTTGTGTGGTGATTGGCGCTTGTGTTACTATATTAATTAACAAAGTAACCAGTAAGTGCTCTGGGTTGTATCGTTATTGGCGCTCGTGTTATTTTATTAATTAACAAAGAGATCAGTCAGCACCCCAGGTTGTGTGATGATTGACGCTTGTGTTATTGTATTAATTAACAAAGGAACTAGTAAGTGTCTTGGATTTTGTGGTGATTGGCGCTTGCATTATTTTATTTATTTTATTATTTACTAAAGCGACCGGTAAATGTGCCGAGTTGTGTGGTGGTTCACGTTGTGTTATTTTATTTATTTTATTATTTAGTAAGAGAATTCTTAAGTACGTTACTTATACATTGCGTCTTATACATTAATTTCTTGATTACCTCTAAGTACATTACGATACTAGTGCGTGGGGAGGCGATGGATGCATGCATGTCTGTTCGCACACGAGCGCCAGCGAGTGATTGAATAATTATTTTTGACACAAATATATTTAATATATACATATATATATATATATATATTTGACACACGCGTGTGTCAGTTTTATAACCTTTTACATGTGTGGTGTAAGCAACTTTCCGATACAGCGTGCACGGAGAACGAGATTATGAGCCATCTAATGTGGCTCTGTAAAGACTTCAACGTACACACGCAGTTGCACGAGCTGTTAGTAGCGTGTGTAAATCAAGGTCTCTAAAGCCATAACAGATGGCTCATAATCGAGTCTCGAACCACAGCGTGTCAAAAAACATTTTGCAACTCTCAGGCTTGGACACGATTCTTATAAACTGGTATTTAAAATTTTATGGATAATTTATTTAACAGTCTGTTTAAGAACCGGATCCTCTAATACAATTAATTTTTAGCACTCTTAAAAAATAAGATCATTACTTAGCATTAGACAAAAGACTGTGGTATTTATGGCCTAAAAGTAATTAAGTGCAACACACATAGAGCCCTTTAATGATTATCTTAATAAATGATGTAAAAAAAATTAAATTTCAGAAATAAGGATAATGACATAAAATTAATCTTGTTATTTTAATGTTATATACGCAAACCAAAACCTTTTTTTAGCTCAATAGTCATGGTTCAATCAAATAAATTGCCCAAGCTTTCAAATTTCATCAATTAACCATATATTTGTTTTTAAAAAATAGAATGCTTAATCAAATGCTGAAAACTGTTATACATATACATAATTGAATACAAGTTAAGCTTGGATAACAAAAAATTAATTAAATTTTATTACTTAAATACAGGATCCCAACACCGGTTTTATGACAAACACTCCTCTTGAAGTTTTCACGATAACACCTGGGCGCAGGTATCGATTTAGAATGATAAACTCTTTTGGGTCTGTTTGTCCCGCACAAATAACGTTCCAAAATCATCAATTAACGTTAATTGCTACTGATGGTGAGCCTGTTCATCCAGTCAATGTTAATACCATCATTTCTTTTTCAGGTAAGGTTATAAGTTACTTAATTGGTCAAATTCATACTTTTAATTTTTTTGAAATAAATAATTCAATACTATATTTGAGAAGTTACAAAACGTTGTATACTCAACTTTGATAAATAAAAGCTTAAACCTTCTTACAAGCTATTACCACCCTCAAAACGATGGGTATGGTAGCTCACCAGAGAGGAAAGACATCGGATTTTTTTTTAATACAGAAGGTAACTGGCTTATTATTGGGTTCATCGTTAGCCGTAAACGGACGAAAAGGAGTCGATGCTTTGGTTAAATATTCAGTTTGTTTTTAACTTGCTGATAATTTGACAGTTACTACTGAATTGATTTTCAAATAACTAAAGATATTATGTGAGGTGTCTACTCATCAACTGCTTATGCCTAAAGCTTAAAAGTACTTTGAACGACTTAGAAGAAGTTCCAACAAACAATAACTCACATAATAATTCACAGCAAAATTTGTAAATTTTTGTTAATGAAGAAGCATGGAACCACTGTAAGGCAGGTTAAAAATAACTAAGAAGGCCTTGGCAACCACGCTGATTAATTAAGTTTCTTGAATCCTATTGTACAGCTTTACTAACAAATATAAGTTTGAGAGTCATTAGAATAAAAAAAATGTGACATGCATATCTGTTAATGTTCAAAACAAAATGTTAACAGGCCGAGTATTGAAAAAATGGTTTTATCATGAAAGTAGCAGGGCTAAGCTTTCTGCACTTGGTGTGAGTAAGGTGTGTTCTAATAATTGAGAAGTGCTGGCGATAAAATAATTTCAATGTTATTATATAATAAGGAAACCTTTTTTTTAATCATTTCACTCTTTATTCTAATAATAGCTTATCAAAATTAAATTACTATCAAAAAACAATGCTCAGAAGTTGTAGTAGCAGCTCAATATCTAAGGCACTATTCAAATTAAAGAAGTTCTAAAGTCATAGAGATGATGAGCTACTAACTATAATTAAAATAGTTGACGATCCACTGAAAAGATAAAACAAATGAAGGGCAGCACTATGAGGTTACAGTTATACTTACCCCTAATATAGATCCTTTATTATGAGATCTGATGAATTTGAATGAAGATAAAAAGGAGAAGCCAACTTTTAACATTAATTAATAAGAAAAAAAGTTTGTTGATAAGCCATGTAACCTTGATTAACAAAGACTTCATTTACTCATTAACATAGATAAAATAATTAATGTTACAGTCTTTTACGGTATTTCAAAACTTCTGGGTTTCCAAGAGAGAGGTCTCATCGATCCAATCGATAATCAATTCTTCTGCTTGCATGCCCCCCATGATAAAACCATGGCAAAACAGTTAGCTTCTGTACAGGAATAAAAGAACCCGTGGCCGCGAAGCTGATGAAGAGGGAAAAGAAAATTGGCTCGCGAACGTTACCTTGCCATGCTCGTTACTTTTCGCTTCATTGATATGAGTATTTGGGCCTCTCAGTTGGATTTCGAGTACATTGAAATCCGCAAGGAGTTGATATCGGATCGCGAGTGATCACGAGACTCTTGACCTATGTACCCCTCTTTGCAGCTTGAGAAAGTCAAGCTTCCCGTCTTCAGTAGGTACCTCAAGAATTGGCAGAGCTTCGTCGATGAATTCCGAGCACTTTTAATCAATGGCAAGTCCATGAAGCCCATGAGTAAGCTCCATAATCTCATAAGCTTGCTTTTAGGCAACCCTGAAAATTTTATGCGTACTGCCAAAGTCAAAGCTGGTAACTCCAGAGCCGTGTAGCAGTATCTCGCTACGACAGTCTGCTGCTTCAATGCTTTGTTCACTTTAAAGCCATATTTAAAATGCCAGCTGCTCCTAAAAAATCTGTGGCTCACCATTCAGACTCATCTCGACTGTCAGTAAGAGTTTAATTACTTTCCAGACACTTAGTGAGCCACTCGCTAAGTGTGACCTCCTCTTAGTCTACTGCGTCACCAGCAAGCTACCTCCCAGCACACAGGTAGATTAAGCCAAGGAATGTGAGGCAGACCAAGTCATGTTTACCTCCTTTGACTTACTTAAAAAGTTTATTGAAAAATGCATCAAAACATTGGAGCATTTGGCCACTTCGAACGTAGACAACCAGGCCCCTGCTGCCACCGCAAGCTTGACGGTGTCCAAAGAAAGTTCCAAGTGCGTCAAATCAACTACTCTCACCATCATCACCAACAAGCCGAACAAATTGGACAAACCGTGGGAGTACCGTTGCTGCGCTGCCACCCACTACACTGGCTCCTACCCTACGTTTCTGCAAAAATCGGTTCCAAGAGAAGAAAATTCGTGTTCTTGGCGCAACTATGCTTCAATTGCTTGAGTCCTTTTCATCGTCAAGGCGAGTACCAGTTCAAGCAACGCTGCCACTCTTGCCAAGCCAAACACCACACAGCTCTGCACCAGGACAGACAACAATCTCCAGCACCAGACTCTTCTGTGAAGAGCGCCCTGACCAGAACATCAGATCAAGAAGGCTTCCAAGAGAATATTGAGCAGGAAACCACCACCTGTGCAGCACCCACTGGTAGCACACGACAGATGGCCACCACCATAGTGACTCTTACGTCCCATTACTGTCTAAGTTATCAGGCCAGAGCCCTCCTCGACTCGTGCTCTGACGAGTCGTACGAGGCTGATCATGTCGTTCAGGCTCTCTACGTCTCGGCCACCACTGCACGAATCGCAATTACAGGTGTAGGTGAAGTGACATCTATCTCCAGAGGCTGGGTCAAGCTTTGGAGTCAAACTCTGACTCCACCTTCAACATGCCCTGCAAGGTGCTACCTTTTGCGAAGCTAACATTGCTTGTCCCCTTGGCTGTGGTCAAGCTTAGTGCTTGGCTGCACCTTCGAAACTTGAAGCTAGGCAACCTTCACTGCAACGCTCCTGGATGATTTGACTGCCTGCTTGGATCCAAGATTCTAGCAGACACCCTGTGCCCAGGATTCATCGCCAGCTTGCTCAAATCCTCCTCAACCTTCAACACAACCTTCACCTGGGTACTGATCACTGGAACTCACCCGACACCGTGTGAGGTAACAACATTGTAAAAATCAACCGCTTCAGTAGACAGGGAGCTTTTTCTGGCTATCACATAGTTCTGGGAGATTGAGGAGCTTCTGCCTTTAAAAGGCTCTTCCACCAAGCATACTTAAATATATTAACAAACTGTGGTTATGGAACCTGATAATGTATTAACGATTAAGCTTTTAGAATATTATTTCGTAAAAGTAAGTTGATATAATAGTTGTGCAAAAGTATTAAATCTGATAAATTTCGTAAAAAGATTTTCTATGAACGAAATCCATACACATCGAGTGGCTGGGCAACTGGGGTCCACTGTGATGGTTTTTATAATAAAAAAATCTAACACGCTGAAGTCTGAAATCACAGCTCTTCAAGTCTTTTATAATTTAGATAAGTAGCACATAACAAAATATAGATTTTGTGGTTCATTATAGCCTTAAATTTTTAATTTTGTTCTTTTACCATTGACAGAATTTAAAATACTCAAAAACTTTGTAAATAAAAAATACAAGTGAAAATGAACTATTACATTATCTCTACATTTCTAGCTTTATTGAGGAGAAAACTATAAAGGTTGACACACCAGTTGATTTTTGTTTAAAAAATGTTCATGATACATATGAAAAATGCAACGATATTGCAGTTATCAAATACGGATGGTGTACGGATTCTCTGTGTATACAACACTTTTTTGCAATCACAGAAGAAATTTCTCCACATTACTCTGACTGCTGAATACGTAAAATAACTGTTTGAACAAATAAAATTTCATCGATTTGTGAGAGGCGAGGTGACTCACGCTAATCAAGTACCCTGAACGTGAGAGGTGAGGGGACTCATGCTAATCAATCACCCGAACGTGGTTTCTAGAATTAAGATGAGTTAAAGGGTATGTAGTTAGATAAATTGCCTATCAGTGGAGTAAAGTTAAAGTATTCTATGTAAATGTAAGAATTTAATTGTAGTTTGATAAGGGTGGTTTGCAACGATCAGAGAGTTTGGATGTATTTTAAAATATATAAATTTACTTAGGAGTAGATAATTGGCTTTGAGAAGTAGAATCAAATAATTTTGAGAAAAATTAACGATTCAACTAACTATACCTCAGGCCAGGTGGATTGTCCTACATGTGGTTTGATAAGGATGGTTTCTAGGGGTTAGATAAAGTAGGGGGTAAGTGGGTAGGTGGTTTACCTATCAGAGGTGTAGAATTTAATTATTTTAGTAAAAACTGGCAATAACATATGTTGTTCCTACGGTAAAGTGGGTTAGCCTGCTGGTGGTTTGGTAAGGGTAGTTTATAGAGTCTTAGAGGGGTTTGTTTTTAAATATATAAGTTTATTTTATGGGTAGAGAATTGAATTGATGGTAGCTGATTATATCGGTGGCTTTGAGATGTAAAATTAAACTATTTTATGAAAAATAAAAGGCTCAACTCATTATTCCTTAGACTAGGTGGGTAAGCTGCTAGTGGTTTGGTAAGGGTAGCTTCTAGGGTTTAGATGAGCTAGTGAATCAGTAGGTAGATGGTTTACCTATCAGTGATGTGGAATTTAATCATTTTGTGAAAAGCTTGCAATTAAATTTGTTGTTCCTAATAGTCAGTAGGCTCACCCACTGGTGGTTTGTAAGGGTAGTTTACATGGGTTAGGGGGTCAGGGGTATATTTTAAAATACATAAGGTTAGTTTAAGGGTACGTAATTAGGTGGATGATTTTAAGAAGCAGAACTAAATTATTTCAAGAAAAATAAACGTTTCAAACAGCTTTTCAGAGGCTTAGGCAGGTTGATCTTCTTATGGCTTATTAGGGGTGGTTTTTACCCTTAAAAATCAGTTAGAGTAGGTATAAAAATATACGAATCTGATATTTTTTATTATTTTATCACTCTGCCAAGTTTCATCAAAATCGGTGAGTGACAATTAGGTAGGGTTACTTGTTTGTAGGTACGTCCATTG